CTGCAACCCTCTGCCCTTCCTCAGTGTAAGTGAACATCAGCTGCTTCAGTTCAACATCTACTTTAGCAGGAGGATGAAGATGAAACCAGGAGGACATTTCAGCAAGACAATGATCCAAAACACAGCCAAGAAGACTCCCAAATGCTTTCAGAGAAAGAAAATCAAGCTGTAGAATGGCCCAGCCAATCACCTGACCCGAATCTAATTGAAAATACAAAGTCAAGATCAGATTTGACAGACGAGACCCACAGAACCATCAGGATTCATCAAGAATACTTATTTCCCCCTCTGCATATGATACAATAAAATCAATAGCGATCAATGGGAATCAGGCACCCTTGTCCTAAATACCCAGAACGCATTGCAAAGTAAGGACACATTCCCCTTCTCTATATTAAACACGCATGCGGACAGTATGAAGCGCTGAGGATTTCTGCTTGATATTCACAGTTGTGCTGCAGTAAACATCTGTCATTGGCTGATGGAAGTGGAGATGGGGCCGATAAGCGCAGGCTGTCATCTCTGAAGCAGGCTTGTTAGGGCTCAAACCTGAGAGGGCTAAACGCTCACGCTTTCAATTTCCTGCTCCAGTGGCCCTGCTTCCTCTCGCCACTTCCTGCTTCCTGCTGCAGGGGGTTTGTGTGCATCAGCCCTTCTGCACACATGCTGCTTTACTATTTACTCTACACTGCTCTCTATACTGGCTTATTTTAAATGATACATGATGAAGCAGCGGCCAATAATTCATGATGAATGATGCTGTATGCTGACATCGTGACTGGTATTTATCTTCAAATAAAAATGTGTATTTCTGGTGCATTTCAGGTTTATGTAAAGCTCAAGACAAACCCCCAAAACAAAAAACTAATGTTTACAAAAAATGCTTAAAAATGCCATTGATTTCAAAGAAATCAAAGAAAAAGTTACAAATAATTATTAAAAATAAGAAATGTTGAAGACAGAAACAGTATTTTGTTGTAAAACATTTAAATAATGCTCATTTTACCTAAAAATTCCCTCACAGAAAATGAACCATGGAGCGGCATGGTGGCCTGTGTATGGTTTGCGTGTTCTCCCTGTGTTGGCGTGGGTTTCCTCCAGGTGTTCCGGTTTCCCCCACAGTCCAAACACATGCGCTATAGGGGGACTGAATAAGCTAAATTGATCATAGTGTATGTGTGTGAATGAGTGTTTGTGGATGTTTCCCAGGACTGGGTTGCAGCTGGAAGGGCATCTGCTGTGTAAAACATATGCTGGATAAGTTGGCGGTTCATTCCGCTGTGGCGACCCCAGATTCATTAAACACTAAGCCGAATAAAAATAAATAAGTATTAACAATGTTGTCCTTCTTCCTTTTTCCCCCCTTAATTTTTTATGCATTGTTTAAGTTTTTTTTTGTATTACAACTATGGTTAATTATCATCAGGGTTTGAAAAATATAAATAATTATTTTACATTGTAATTTTTAAGATATAATACAGTATATATTCATTTTAAAAATGAAATATTCAAATTTAAAAAAATATTAATAAATGTATAAATTGTTAAATGATAAATAAATAAATAAACATAAAAAGGGAAAAAATTATTACAAATGAATTAAAAAAAAAGTTCAAACTGAATCAAATAAGAAATTCTGAAGAGGTCAAAACAGAAGATATTTTCTTGCAAAACATATTCAATAAATATAGTATTATTTAGCACCATATATATATATATATAAAAAAAGTACATGTATATATACTCACCGGCCACTTTACTGGGTACACCTTTCCAACAGCTCGGAGGAGAATGGCCAGACTGGTTCCAGCTGATAGAAAGGCAACTGTAACTCAAATAACTGCTCGTTACAGCTGAGGTCTGCAGAAGAGCATCTCTGAACACACAACACGTCCAACCTTGAGGCGGATGGGCTACAGCAGCAGAAGAACACACCGGGTGCCGCTCCTGTCAGCTACAAACAGGAAACTGAGGCTACAATTCACACAGTCCACCAAAACTGGACAATAGAAGATTGGAGAAACGTTGCCTGCTCTGATGAGTCTCTATTTCTGCTGCAACATCCGGATGCTCGGGTCAGAATTGGGCATCAACAACATGAAAGCATGGATCTGTCCTGCCTTGTATCAATGGTTCAGACTGGTGGTGGTGGTATAATGGTGTGGGGGAGATTTTCTTGGCACATTTTGGGTTCATTAGTACCAATTGAGCATCTTGTCATCGCCACAGCCTACCTGAGTATTGCTGCTGACCATGTCCATCCCTTATGAGCACAGTGTCTCCATCTTCTAATGGCTACTTCCAGCAGGGTAACACACCATGTCATAAAACGTGTATCATCTCAGACTGATTTCTTAACATGACAATGAGTTCACTGTACTCAGATGACCTCCAAACTCCCCATATCTCAATCCAATAGAGAATGGGAGATTGGCATCATGGATGTGCAGCTGACAAATCTGCAGCAGCTGTGTGATGCTATCATGTCAATATGGAGCAAAATCTCTGAGGAATATTTCCAGTAGCTTGTTGAATCTCTGCCATGAAGTTCTGAAAGCAAAAGGTGGTCCAACCCGGTACTAGTAAGGTGTACCTAATAAAGTGGCCGGTGAGTATATCTTAGTGGTTTTCATTTAACGTGTATTTTAATTAATATATTTTTATATATGTTATACTAAATGATGTATGGGGGCACGGTGGTGCAGTGGGGAGCACAATCGCCTCTCAGCAAGAAGGTTGCTGGTTCTAGTCCTGGCTTGGTCAGTTGGCATTTCTGTGTGGAGTTTGCATGTTCTCACGGTGTTGGCGTGGGTTGCCCCCGGGTGCTCCAGTTTTCCCCACAGTCCAAAGACATAGGCTATAGGGGAATTGGGAAAGCTAATTTGGCCGTAGTGTATGCGTATGAATGAGTGTGTATGGATGTTTCCCAGTGTTGGGTTGCGGCTGGAAGGGCATCCGCTGTGTAAAACATGTGCTTTATAAATTGGCGGTTCATTCTGCTGTGGCGAACCAAGTTTAAGCCGAAAAGGAAATGAATGAATGAGTAAATGATGTAAAATACTGACTTGATTTGCTTTACATGAACTGAATTTGATGCAAACATGAGGGCAGCATATGTAATACGTGCATAATAATAAATAATAAGTCCAGAATATGTTAGTTCTCTATTTCAAACACTGCAAATATGAGGGAAAATGACAAGTGCAATCATCATAATCATGCATATTCCAGACAACATGCAACCATAATGACATGTAATGCTGTTCAAGTGGATCATAATGAAGTCTGTATGGAGGAAATCTGTGCTGTGGTGCATTAGTGAGAGTCTCTTCTTGAAGATGAAGATGGAGAGATGCAGATACTTTAATAAAGTCAGAATAACATGTTTCCATCAGTGGAGTTTTTAATATTCATGAGTGTATTTGAGTCCAGGTGCTTCATTAACCTCTGCTGACCTCCTCCATGCTGCTGCTGTATTGAATATTTACTATAAACCTCATGAAATGATACTCAAGACACTCGCGCAGGATTACATCACCTTCTGTCCCAGTGGCTATGAAAAAACACACAGTAGGTGTAAAACAATAACTCATGAATATGCATGAGTCTGCTTCATGTAGTGGCTGAACTGAGAATTAAAGGAATACATGAAGTTTGGACTCTAAGATCGTCTTTTAGGTGTTTGTATGGGTTTACTTCAGCAGCTGTCTGAACATATGCCGGCGACTAAAAGATTACAAACACTTACTTGAGCTCATTTTTAAAAAATAATGAATCAATTCACGACTGACATTGAAATATTATTTAAACATTGCGATTTAAAAAAAAAAAAGAAAAAAAAAAGGAAATTGATCTAAAAATCGAAACTAAAATTAAAGGTTATATAATTTAACAAAATATTTAGTGGAAATAAAAGGGAAAATGTAATTAAATGTAAAAATTTAAAGTAGAAGCTCATTCGTTTAATATATTACATTGTTTAACAAAGGGGTGTCCAAACTCCAAACTGGAGGTCCGGTGTCCTGCCGAGTTTAGCTTCAGCTTGACTCAACACATCTGCCAGGAATTTTCTAGTACAGTGAAAGCTTGAATAGCTGGCTCAGGTGTGTTTAATTAGGGTTGAAGCTAAACTCTTCAGAAAATAGGCCCTCCAGGACCGAGTTTGGACACCCCAGGTTATTTATTTATTTTTTTATTTTTTGTAATATTTTTAACGTATATAATTTAAATTATATAAATTATTATTAAAATGTAAATAATAAATATAATATAATATTTAAATAAAAATTTTATTTAAATAATAAATAATAAAAAGTAGAAATAAATATAGCTATAAATAAATGTATAAATAAATATTGAAAAATAGATGTTGTAATAAATATAAAGAATATATCTGAATGAATGAAAAAAACCCCAATATAATAATAAATTAAATATACATATACTAATTTAAATAATAATAATAATAATAATATATAGTAACAATCGCACCAAAAATGAAAACATTATTGATTTTTCTTTTCATTATAATTTTTTTGACTATTTATTTTACTATTTTGTTTGTTTTTTTGGTCCAATTTATATTTGAATACATTTAGAAATGTTTTATATAAATATACATAATAATTATAATTATTTATTCTATTAATTAACCATTTTTAAGTTAAGCAAACATATAGAGCTTTAAAAATTTAAAATTAAATTAAAAAATTAAAAATCGTTGCAATAATGGTACAATAAAATATAATATTAACATAAAAAAACAGATAAAAATAAAAGATTTTTAATTGCAGTATAACACAAATTCAGTGAAAGGAGAAATTCAAATAAACACAAAATGTACAGAACAGAGCAAAAATAAAAAATAAAATAATAAAAGAAATAAACAAATGATAAAACTAAAAGTAGGCTTAAATGCAAGATCCTCAAATGAGCCAATGCGCATGTGCGGAGAAGCACGTGACGTGCGTAGTCAGCTGATCGCTGAAGATGTAAACACAGTGAGCACGTGCTGATCAATAAACGCTGAACTTTGGTTATTCGGTTAGTTATTGGTTTCTTGTGTGTGTCAGAGTGTGTCATCGAGCTGCATGTGCTCGTCCTGCTGCAGACGTGTTTAATGGCGCCGTTAAAGTTCTGCGCGAATATCTCGTGGCTGTTCACGGAGCTGCCGGAGTTCCCGCAGCGGATGCGCGCCGCAGCGAGTGCGGGGTTCCGCGCGGTGGAGGCGGCCTGGCTCTACAACACCGACCTGAAAGAGTTAAAGACAGCCAAAGAGGAGACGGGGCTCGAGTTTGTGCTAATAAACACTCCTCCTGGTGAGAGAAAGAAACGCACGCACACACACGAGTGAACGACAGACAAACAGACGAGTGCATTGACGGATCCATAAACGGATAGATAGATGACTAGATAGACAAATAGATGGATGCTTGGGTCAAACTTTAGACAGATAGATAGATAGATAGATAGATAGATAGATAGATAGATAGATAGATAGATAGATAGATAGATAGATAGATACATAGATTGACGGATAGATGGATGGATGGATAGATAGATAGATAGATAGATAGATAGATAGATAGACGGATAGATAGATAGACGGATACATAGATTGACGGATGGACGGATGGATGGATGGATAGATAGATAGATAGATGGATGGATGGATGGATGGATGGATAGATAGATAGATAGATAGATAGATAGATAGATGGATGGATAGATAGATAGATAGATAGATAGATAGATAGATAGATAGATAGATAGATAGATAGACGGATACATAGATTGATGGATGGACGGATGGATGGATGGATAGATAGATAGATAGATAGATAGATAGATGGATGGATGGATGGATGGATGGATGGATGGATGGATGGATGGATGGATGGATGGATGGATGGATGGATGGATGACTAGATAGACGGATGACTAGATAGATAGATAGATAGATAGATAGATAGTTTGATAGATAGATAGACGGATACATAGATTGACGGATGGACGGATGGATGGATGGATAGATAGATAGATAGATTGATGGATGGATGGATGGATGGATAGATGGATGGATGACTAGATAGACGGATGACTAGATAGATAGATAGATAGATAGATAGATAGATAGATAGATAGATAGATAGATAGATAGATAGATAGATGGATGGATTCTTGGGTTAAACTATGGTTGGATGGATGGACGACTGGATGGATCACTATATTCAGATGACTAGATAGACGGATAGACACTTTAATTAAGTGCTGATAGTTATCATCAGTAATAATCAGCTGCTGTGTTCCCGCAGGTGACGCGTCAGCTGGAGATCTGGGATTGGCTGCTGTTCCTGGGAGAGAGCAGGAGTTCAGGCAGGGTTTGGATTTGGCTGTTCAGTACGCTAAAGCACTCGACTGCACGAGGTACGAGTGTGAGGATGTTTAATACTCTTCAGGAACACACTTCAGTCGACCTTCAGGGGTCACACATTTAACAAACACCAATTACATGTTCATAAAGGTTCATGAAACCCTCGAGTACTTTTTCTGAGATGTTAACAGAATTGTGTTTGTTGAGCATCAGTTAAGGCAATGTTGGCACCTGTCAGCTGTAATTGTGGGGTAAACTGGATAATTTGGAGCATTTGTCAGTTTGTCAGCTTTTGTCGGTTTCTCATTATTATTCATAGCGGAGTTTTCTTATCCTATGAGAAGAGCCGGCTTCTTAATTATTCATGCCTGCACGTGCTTTACGAAGACAAGGCAGACCTGCCAGTGCCAAGCTCTGAGACACAAACACACAGCACACAGTATTCATCCATTCATGAAGGGTTGTGTGTCTGTTTCCCCGCGATGCTGTCAGGATCGATACAGCAGAGCTGTTTGTGTGCAGCAAGCATTTTTGTCAGGAGAGCAGTACGAGTATGACAGAGAATTGTGGACTTTGTCCTTTATCAGGAGTTCGTTCACATTTAGACACATCACCGTGCTGCTGTGTTTGCCTAAATCCTCCAGATTACCAACAGGGCTAATGGTTAAAATAGGCAGGGCAAGAGAGTCTGCATTCAGACCCGGGGATTGAGGGAGAAGTCATCATTTATAGTGTTTATATGAACATGCTTATCTTTAAAATGATATAAATTGTGGTTATCTGTATATGAAATTACAAATAACAAATGTAGCTGAGCATTAAATTACCGTTTGTTTCTTTGCATTTTAACTTTGTTAGCTATAAAGTCATGCGTCTCCTCATGGTTTGTGTCTCATTTTGTGAGCCGACTGACAACAGTTGTTCGCTCCCCTCCTTCTCCCCTGCTGGCCACGCCCACTCTTGCCCTTTGCTCACAGAGCTCCACGCCCATTATCATGCATCTTTTGAAAAAATTCTGAGGTAGACTTGAACCGAAAGTGGGGGGTGTCATGACCCTTTAAAGCCCTGTCCACACAAGCATGAGTATTTTCAAAAATGCACTTTTTTTCTACACATTTTTACTGTTTGTCCACACAAAAAGGGAGTATTGGCTGACTGAAACTCAAGCTTTCTGAAAACTCCGACCATACAGAAATCCAAATCAATATTTATTCAGAGATTTGCATGGAAGAGCTCACTTTTCCTGCTTTGTCTTTTTGTTGTCTGGTTAGGACTCAAATGAACAAAACACAGCAGCAATAACAGTCCTTCAGCTGATTTATATTCACAGTGGACTGCTGGATGTTCCACTCATATTATATAAAGCATAAAACAAGCGCATACTGAAGCTGCTGTGAGGAAGACATGAAGCTTTACTTACTGAAATGTTCAGATTTGTGCTGAACTGTTCTTGCTGAAGCTCTGAGGTGTGTTTTCTCCATCGGTGGAGCATGAGGATGGTGTATATGTGATGTTCATGTGTGTCTCCAGGATTCACTTGATGGCTGGCAGGGTCCCGGCGGGGTCTGAACGCTGCGCTCTTGCCCTGCAGATGGAGGATACGTTTGTGCACAATCTGAAGCATGCAGCAGGTGTGCTAGACAAGGTGACCTTTGACCCCCTTAAAATTTCTAAATCAAAATTATAGAATCCAAATCTAAGTCATTAGAAATCCAATTCAAAATCTACAATTAAAAATCAAAATTGTAAAATTCCAAATTTAAATTTACAAAAAAAAAAAAAAAATTTAGAATTCCAAATTCTAAAGTTACAAAAATATATATATTTTTTGAGATTTCCAAATCTAAATTTTAGAGTTAATAATCAAAGTTTTTGAATTCTAATTTTAAGTTTTGAATTCTAAATTAACATTGTTGAATTCCAATTCAAAATATTAGAATTCCAAATCTAAATTTACAAAAAAATTTTTTTTTAAATTCTAAATCTAAATTTAATTCCAAATTTAAATTTTAGAAATATTAATCAAAGTTTTTTAATTCTAAATTAACAATGTTGAATTCCAAATCAAAATATTAGAATTCCAAATCTAAATTTACAACTAAAAATCACAATTTTAGAATTCTAAATCAAAGTTTTAGAATTCCAAATCTTTATTTAAGAATAAAAAAACTAAAAAAATAAATAAAAATTAAATTAAAAAATTTGAAATCAAAAGTTCAAAGTCCAAATTTTAATTGACTGCAGTCTTGTGTTCTTAGGTCTTACATATTTTTAAAAATTATTTATTTATTATTATTTACAGCATAAAATAATATATAACATAAATGAGTATATATAAATATCATTGTAGTCTTCCTCCAATGCTTACTGAAATACTCCTACAGTGCTTGAAACATTTGTTTTGTTTTTGATTTCGTGATGTTGTAACTCTCCACCGGGTCTCTACATTTAATACCGTGGTTTGGCTGGATGGTTTTGATGCTGTAATTTAGTGTAAGGCTGAATTTGAGAGCTTTTAAAACGATACTATACTATATAACTCTTCAATGCTGCTAATTTGATCAATAATCACTAAAAACTCTTTTACTTACACCTAACTTTTAGTACCTGTAGGTCACATATTTTGCAAAAAAAAAAAAAAAAAACGATCAAAAATTGTCTTCATCGCCCAAAAACAGTTTGTCTTTGCTCTTCAGGAAGGTCTGCTTGGTCTGATTGAGCCGATCAACAGCAGGATCACAGACCCACGATATTTCCTGCACTCTCCACATCAGGGTCAGCACTCTCTCACACTGAACATTGAGTGTGTGTTTTCTGATTCTGGATCATTTACTGATGTTTTATTGTGTTGGTGTGTAGCTGCTGAGATTCTGCAGAGAGTGGATCATCCCAGCATCAAGATGCAGATGGTTAGTTTTCTCATATTTCTCATATATTAGTCTGTCTGTCTGTCTATCTATTGTTCCATCCATCCATCCATCTATCTATCTATCCTTCCATCCTTCCATCCATCCATCCATCCATCCATCCATCCATCTATCTATCTATCCTTCCATCCATCCATCCATCCATCCATCCATCCATCCATCCATCCATCCATCCATCCATCTATCCTTCCATCCATCCATCC